AGAGAGAGAGAGAGAGAGAGAGAGAGAGAGAGAGAGAGAGAGAGAGAAAGAGAGAGAGAGAGAAAGAGAGAGAGAGAGAGAGAGGAGCATGCGTGCACATTAGTGAAAGGGATATTTTTCCTGTTATTTTTAGTTTTGTTTTTGTTTTAATTGTACGTTTTTGGGAGACCCACAGAAGTCTTCAGAACTCACACTTGGTCCTACAGTTCACTGCTCAATCACACCCCAAACAGCCCTGCAGGGGATGCTGTAAGGATGGCAGGAACTATACCAGGTAAAAAAAAAAAATAACAAATAACAAAGCCCCCCAAAGAACAGTTTTGCAGTGCACACCAGGCAGGCAGATGCGCAAAAAGGGCTTTGTTGTAAGCCACCCAGTTTTATCCCGTGAGAGGCTTTGGGTTCTTGTTAATGGCCACCCTTAGCTCTTGATCTGAGGAAAGAGGCCTCTTTCATTCCTTGTCACTAAAGGACTTTGCTTACGTGACCATATAACATGTAACAGCAGAGTCAGAACAGTATTGCATTGAAACATAGCAAAGCTAGGATGCTGACATCGAACCCTGCCTGTTACTCCATTACTTAGGTGGTCTCAGGCCTCAGCGTCTCTTCTACAAGTTAAGGTGAGAACAGTGTTCGCCCCAAAGAGGCTATGGTGAGAGTTATGTGGGCTAATGTTCACAGGGTGCTTAGAGGAGTGTCTGGAGCAACGTGGACCCTTTATTTAATATGTATGTGGGCAGAGGTGCCTTACCTTCTGCAACACAGTCCATCCATTTCCAGATCCATCGATTTCACAGTATACTAAGAACTGCTGTTTGGATTTCAAAGGCCGAATGAAGTAAAGTCCACTTTCTTTGGCACCCTTGTTGGCAATTTCCTGACAATCTGATGAAGAAAAAGCAAATAAAACTGCTTGAAGTCCAGGTCGGGAGTTAACAGGTTCAGCCGCCTCCCAAGCCTTTCCTAACACCCTTCCTTCCAAATTAGTGATTAGTGGCCAAGAACACTGTGGGCAGCTGGAATCCTTAGATTTAAGGTCTGGGACTTTCCAAACTTGCTACACATTGCAAGGTGCACAACTGCTTTCATTTTGGCTGTTTGCTTTGCCGACCCCGGCCCCACGGCAAGTTTTCCCATACCTTTGCCAGTTGTGTCGTGGATTTGCACGGTGTCCTTGCAAGGCTCCTGGCACTGAGCCTCCAGCTGGGCCACCTTCTGTTTCAGGTTTGTGATCTTCTGGGCGTTTGAATTATAGATATCCTGCAAATACCTAGAAGCAGGGCAATGCAGTCAGAGGGGGTAAGCACTCCTTCCAGAACACGTGTTTACTCTTCTCTGTTTTTAGAAAATGTTGCTTTCTTTCCTCGAGCACTCTTTTTTGATAAATCGCTTCATTCTTGGAAAAACTGCAAAATTCCCAACTCTAAAATTAAATTGAAGCTTCGGGGGAAAAGAAAAATAAAATCCCAATCCATTTCAACGGGAGGGTAATTGGGACTTGGATGAGGCAGGCGGTCTCAACTTTGAACACAAATAACAAAGTCCCTGTCAATAAACAAAGGTCACTGTAGGTGGCTTTTCTGACTTTTTCCTTTTCTCCAAGGGGACTCAGGTAATAACGTGTGGATAGCAGGCCTGGTTAAGCAGTAGCTCACATGGGCCATCTGGGGCTTTCTGTCTGTTCTCTAACTTAAATGGGAAAGGTACCTGGGACACTTTACACGCAGCAATAAGTACTTTCCCTTTCTCGTTCCATATCTCTAGAAAACACCTTGGGAAAGGGAGAGTTTTGCTTGGGTCATTCCTCACATGGTTGCTTATAAATATCCAGACATGACGGACAACAATGCATAAACCACTGTGTCTGCCTTTGAAGTCAAGAGGAGGGACAATTGGTTGGACCACTTTGTTCCTCTGTTCTAGAAAATTTCTCGGGATGCTTTCCTTCTACATGAACGACGAACAGAAGTCACGGAAATTATAATGATAAAGACAGCAGAAAGAGGAGAATTAGGTCTGAGGCCACTTCTCCCCAGCTACCATGCAGTGCAGTTTCCAACGGTGCTGTGAGTTCAGTTTGGGGGGGACCAGGGAAAGGAGTTAACACTGCACCCGAGAGTCCATCCCCAAGTCCCGGGGAGCTAGGAGGACGGGGACAAGGTTGGGTGGCAGCCCCACAGACTGTGGGCAAGGGGCTCCAGGACATTCCCTTTCTACTCCACCTGTGACATGATTTGCTACAGTAGCCAAGACCCTTCTTCCGTCTCTGTTTTCTGATTTCCTAATGTTGATTTGGTGACATATTTGTGAAGAAGGATTGTATTTCCACAGGTTTTACATCGTAAGGGGATGGGGGTCATTCAGACAAACAGGGCCAGGATGGCATTTGAAGACATCTATAATAACCCTCCTCCACCGTCGTTATTTATTTATTTTTTTAATTATGAACTGGTACAACTGATTTTGTACTTAAAACTCCTAGATCCACGGGGTTCATGCCAATTTGATATTTTTAAATGAAAAATGCATTCCGATATCACTCTCTGTGAAATGTGGAATAATTCAGTAAAAATCTCAGTCTACCTTGACACTTACCGAATACTTGTCTCATGGGTCAGTATCAGCGCTTCGTATTTCATGATGTCTTCTGTCATCTTCTTAGACTTCTGAGTGGCACCCTCAACCACATCTGCAAGATAGGGGTCAGAGAAAAGTCACTTAAGCAAACAGTACAACGCAAAGCATAAAAGGCAATTCCTCAGTGGGCTTCCTCACTTGGCCTTGGGGGCTGGTCAGGGTTGTAGTAAACTTGTATCGCTTTGATCAGTTCTTTGGCCTCCGTGGTTCTGTTCTCAGCCCCGTTTAAGATGTCCTCCAGAGCCTTGAGGTCATTGTCCACGTCCGTTTGGTAAGAGGACAGGAAGTCCGCGATGCCACAGGTGGTTGGGCAGTAGCTACCCTGCAAGTCAATAAGGAGGCGACTGAACACCCTGAAAGGAGAAGCCTTGAATCTTAGCTATGCGTCAATGTTAAGTCGTTTCCCAAAAGCTTAAGATGTCAACTGGAATATGAAAGAACTGCCTTATTTTCCCATCCTTCCCTAGTTCCAAGAAAGGGGGTGACATAGAAACTACTTACGAATCTCTCGTCTAAGATGCAGCAGTTATCTCTGGTAGCAATGTACTGTGGGAGAAAAACACGGACATTTTGCTAGTGGCTCAGATCATTTCTCCTTTTTGCATTTAAGACAATATGGCTCCTGAGGGGTGCTTACCGCCAGTGCCGTTGGAGAGAGCAGCAAAAGCGTGCAGCAGAGAAGGAAACTCCGGGGCTGCAAGGACCAACTCATGATGTCTGGGTGACCTGGCGTTCCCAGCCCCTCACGGCCAGTACTGTGACCTCTTGGGCTCTCCTTGGTCCTTTATGTGAGTTCCCAGTCTGGGCGGGACTAAGAGTGGCTGGAACTGGTCACGGGGCCTCCTTACCAGAAGCGTGGGCCCTTTCTGTTCGTTCTGGCTCCCAGCTGTGCTCTGTCAGGTTTCCAGATTTTGCGCACAGGTTTAAGCTCCTCCTTTTGGGCTCAGCCCAACCTGGATCCCCAGACCCACAGGCATCTGCACAAGCCAGCAAAGCATTGGCTGCTGCTCTGAGGAGGGACGGAGGCTGCGTGATGCAACTGCTTCCAGTATACCACCACCAGAACAAACACAGTGTTCTGACCTGCCCATAACAAACCCAGCCTACTCCAAGGTCTGGCCTGCTACAGCCACAGCCATTATTGAAAGATCTGTCTTAGCCCAGGGACGAGGTGACACTATTATTTTTAACCTGTGGCTATCACAGGAGGTGACTTTTCCTCTCTCCATGCCTCATTTCTGTATTCTCAAGAATAAATCATGCTGGAAATGGGTTCTTGTCCATCTGCGCTGCCCTTTTCTTCTCAGGTCAATTCTCATTGAGTTTTGACCTCAATTTGTCTTGACTGGAATTGAGACTGACTCCCATCGGCTGCAAAAAACGGAAGGGGCCAGGGGTCCCCAGGTTTGTCCCAAAGCCCCATCCAGCTCATGGAGGGGAAACCTGCACTCAGAGAAACCCACCTCCCACATACTTCGTTAGAAGCCTTGCTGAAGGATAAGGGACAGAGAGAGACTCTGAGGAGATTCATTGTCAGCCTCTCTGTGATAATGGCAGGCAGCTGGGGGGCCGTCACTGAATGTGTGCTGAGACTGTCCTCCTCCCGCGACACCAAGCTTGCTGCAAACTCTGATGAACTATGTGATGGGGAGAGATGCATCTAATTTGAAAGATGCACTCATGTTTTCACACTTGATTGGAAGCTTTTACAAAGTAGTGTCTGCTTTGACACAAAAGCTAAGAACTGTTTGTGCTCTGTAATTAGTCAGAAATCATTCTAATAAAGTGGACTCATCTAACCAAAACTGCGGCCATTTCCATTCCTGACTGGATTTCCCGGCACTTCTGTCACTTCCTGCTTGCAAGCCCTTTGCCACTCTACTTAACAGAGTAGCTCCTGCTGTGCTTAAAGACCCTTAGCACCCCCCCCCCATCTCCAGTCACAGTGAACGCAGATCACACGCTTGTCCTCCTAGACTAGCTTTCTCTTCTCCTCACCCTCCAGACTTACCTAAATGAGCCTCCTGGCATCCTCTTCTGTGCAGCATGAGGTTGAAAAAAATCCTAAATAAGCCAGAAGTCCTGTTTCCCGGAGTTTGGTCCTCTCTAACACAGCTTCACCCCGAAGCACTGGATTCAGCTCTAGATGTTTGCAGGGTGTTAAGTGTTTTCATAGCTTACAATGTACAGATGTTTTATGCAACTCATAGAATCATAGAAGCAGGGATTTCTTTATTTTCATAGAGTTTGAATAGGGATTCTTCCTTTTTTTTTTTTTCTTTTCTTTTTTGTTTTTTTGAGACATGGTTTCTCTGTGTAACAGTCCTGGCTGTTGTGGAACTCACTTTGTAGACCAGGCTGGCCTCTAACTCACAGAGATCCGCCTGGTTCTGCCCCTCAAGTGCTGGGATTAAAGGCGTGTGCCACCACTGCCTGGCTCAATAGGGATTCTTACTAGTATGCTGCATTCATGAGAAATGAGCTTTGTTGCAACTACAGAACGTTTTCTTCTATAAATGATCTGTTGTGATTAACTGCCATCTAGAAGGCTCCAAAGACCAGAGAGCTCTGGGTTACTTAATTGGGGGATTGTTCCTCCTAAATGAAATATATATATATATATATATATATATATATATATATATATAT